AAAATTCTATATCTCAGCTGATGTTACCTTCTTTGAAAACAAATCTTATTTCCCTAAGTCCCATCTTCAGGGGGAGACAACTAATCTTGAAGATGGTACTTGGTCTGAGTCGTTTGAGTCTTTTGAACCACTTGATCTTCCGTCTACTTCTCATTCTCCTTTAGTCATCACTTCGGTCACCCCACAAGGTCCTGCCCAAGAGCCCGAGTCTTCCAACACAGAAACCGATCCTACTTGTCAACCCCAAGAGTCTGTCAGTTTTGAAAATCCGAAAGAGCCTGTGTCTAGCCAAGTTACTGATGTTCATCCAAGGTTTTCTCAGGTGTATACAAGAAGGGCAAAAGCCCCAAACCTGACACAAGTCCAAGAGACCAACCCGAGTCCTGAGAATGAGGGCATGGTGAGTACAGATTCATTCCTAGACACTGAGACATTTGAAGCTTCAGCCGATGACTCTCATCTGCCCATTGCCATCAGGAAAAAATCCCGAGAATGCTCCAAGAGGCCACTATATCCTCTTTCCCACTATGTCTCACCTAAACGCATGTCACCATCCCACTAGAGGTTTATAGCCAGCCTAAACACAATCTCCACACCAAATACACTTTCTGAGGCGTTATTGAAGGAGGAGTGGAGGAAGGCTATGAGAGAGGAATTAGAGGCTCTGGAAAAGAATCAAACATGGGAGATAGTGGAGAGACCAAAAGGAAAGAACATAGTTGATTGCAAATGGGTATTTGCATTAAAGTATAAGGTTGATAGATCTCTCGAGAGATATAAAGCAAGATTAGTTGCGAAAGGGTACACTCAGAGTTATGGGGTGGATTATCATGAGATATTCGCTCCGGTGGCAAAAATGAATACCGTGAGGATTTTTGTGTCGTTAGCAGCCCATTTTGACTAGCCATTGCTACAATATGAAGTGAAAAATGCCTTCCTCCATGGAGACTTGGATGAGGAGATATATATGAGCATCCCGCCAGGATTTGAGGGGAATAAAACCAGTGACAAAGTCTGTGAGCTTAAAAAGGCTCTATATGGGCTAAAACAGTCCCCTAGAGCATGGTTTGGCAGATTTGCTAAGGTAATGAAAGATTCGGGTTATAGGCAAAGTCAAGGTGATCACACGTTGTTCTTCAAACATTCAACCTCAGGGGGAGTGACTGCCTTGTTTGTGTATGTTGATGATATCATCGTAACGGGGAATGATCATAAGGAAAAAGATGACTTGAAGAGAAGACTGATTCAAGAATTTGAGATAAAGGAAATTTGTAGATTGAAGTATTTTCTTGGGATTGAGGTGGCATACTCTAGACAAGGCATCTTTCTATCCCAACGGAAGTATGTGACTGATCCTTTAATAGAAACTGGAAAGGCTGATTGTAAACCGGCTGCCACTCCTATGGACTCAAACCAGAAATTAAGTGAAGCAAGAGAGGAACCACCAGTGGACAAGGGAATGTATCAAAGGCTAGTTGGAAGACTCATATATCTCACACACACTCGGCCTGACATAGCTTACTCAGTGCGTGTGATCAGCCAATTTATGCACGATCCAAGGGAGCCTCACCTTCAAGCTGCACATAGAATACTGCACTACTTGAAGGGCAGTCCCAGAAAAGGGATCTTGTTCAAAAGGAACTATGTTTTCACGTTAGAAGCATATACAGATGCAGATTATGCCGGTTCTATAGTGGATGGAAGATCAACAACTGGCTATTGTACATTTCTTGGTGGTAATCTGATAACATGGAGGAGCAAAAAGCAGAATGTTGTGGCTAGATCATATGTAGAAGCTGAATTTCGGGCTGTTGCTCAAGGGATGTGTGAACTACTTTGGCTGAAAATTGTTCTAGAGGATTTGAGAGTCAAGTGGGAGGAACCTATGAAGCTCTACTACGACAACAAGTCAGCAATCAACATCGCTCACAATCCTATTCAACATGATAGGACAAAACATATTGAGATTGATAGGCACTTCATCAAAAAGAAGTTGGAAGAAGGACTCATATGTATGTCCTATGTTCCTTCAGGAGGTCAATTGGCTGACGTTCTAACAAAAGGATTAAATGGTTCTAATTTTCATGAGATTGTAGCCAAGCTGGGAATGGAAGATATTCATTCCTCAGCTTGAGGGGGAGTGTCGAGAGGTATTTTAGGCTGTAAATCATTAGGAAAATTAGTTTTAACAATTCCTGATTTTCAGGGATTGGGGTAGATATCCTTTCCTATTTTCTCTCTATGTAAACTCTATAAATACTTAGCCATGTAATTATTCAATATAGGAAATAAACAGATAATTCTTTATCCCTAGTTTGCGTCAGTATTATTTCTCAACACACTGGGCTAATTATAGATTATATAGCATCTAGTTAATGCAGTTATTTATTCGCATTTGACTTGTGTATCTAATAAAATTGCTACCACATATCCTATATTCGTTTAAAAAGAAGAGAGATTGAAAGCACTGAATACTATATATCTTTATTTGGTGAGATAATAAATCACCTACATTAGGCTGAGGGAAGAAATTTGTCCTTGACACCTTAAGTTTGAATTCCGAATCTGTTATGGGAATTCACAACAGAAACCTAAAGTCAACAAAACAATATAAAATGTGTTGGAAATTCTCTTGGTATAGAGGAGTGAATCATCCAGCGCCAATCTTGAAAACTTATTTCTGTTATCTTGTATCTCCTTCAACTAATATTAGTAATCATTATGGGATCTTAAGATAAGCACACATGGCTTAACAATTTCTGAGATAGTCAGCACAATTTTCGCTTGTTATACAAAAGTAGTAAAAAGCATCTTCATTTTCTGATCGATGTAACATCATGAGAAGTTATAAGTTTGAATACAACCGCAAGAGAGAAACAAAGGAACTGAAGAGATACCTAAATAGAAATTGACAAAGATATTGATCGGTCGGTATTCAGATGTCCACAAAGATGATTCCACCAAGCGCAAAGCTGTCTCCTCCTGAAAATATTTTAAGCATATAACAAAAGTAAAGGATACAAATCCACTAGCCAACTAATTTCTCATCTAGTTTCTCCTTATGACCTTGTTGTGACATAGGGCTTGATTTCAAGTGCCAACCAACAATTGAGTTGGTTTCTAATTACAGACTTGCTTAGGGATCTTTTCAAGTCTTGGGGACTTTTTTCTCCAAGACCTCTTCAAGTTGACAAGCGGATTTGTGTTTGGGATACAAATGGGTTTTCTTGAAATTCTTTATTTCAATCTTTGATCAAAATTCCGGATGTTCCTTTCTTTCAACCTTTCAAGTTTATACAGAAATCTTGTGCTCCTACTAAACTTAAAGTCTTTGCCCGGTTATTTTGTCAAAAAAATTGAACATCTGAGACTTAGTGTAGAGAAAACACTCTCAGTCAGTATTGTCTGGTGTGTTATGTGTAGGGCTGATGCAAAAACTGTGAACCATTTATTTATGCACTCCGAAGTGGCTTGGAGACTATGGGGGAATGTGTTGGAGGCAGCTGATCTTAAATGGTCCTTCCCAGATCAAAGTAATTCGATTTTGGTGGAGGATAAGTGCCTTTTGAAGATTTGTTTGAGAAGGCAAAATTTTTAGCCTCTTTGTGGGCTTCGACAGACTCCTCTTTCAAACACTTTCCTATGTCCTTTATTATACTAAGTTGGGAAGAAAATCTAGTTTAAATAATTATGTAATCGTTATGGTTGTTAAGTGTAGTTTTTGGAGTTTACTGTTTTTACTGTTCTGGCCTTCTGCTTTTCCTTTCTTTTGTTGTATTTTCTTTCGCTTTCTAATGGATTTCTCATCCATCTTATAAATGGATTTCTCATCCATCTTATAACTTCATTTGTATTGTTTTTGATCCAATGAAGTTTTTGTTTCTTATAAACAATAAAATTTAACTAACTTGCTTAGGAAAAAAAGTTACACAGAATATGATCTTAACATGAGAAAAAGATGAGATGACTTCAACAGGAAACTAAACTTAAGCAACCGATACCGTTTATAGTTAATCCTATTGAAGGCGAAAGAGGAATTCTATTAAAAAAAAAGGCGGACCCCAGTGCCAAAGAGGCTCTCATACTATCATAGGCTCGGGGGAAAGCTCAATCCCATATGTACGCGGCCTTATCCCCGAAGGAGAGGCCGTTTCTGGGATTCGAACCCTGGACTCCGGGTGCAAACGCAAGCGCTCCCACCGCGGTGCCAAGGCCCGCCTTCCGAAAGAGGAATTCTATTGATTGAATAAAAACACTACATGTTAGGGTATATTTATCCCTGTACACAAAATTAGAAAATTAAAAATAAAATATTCCATAATCTTCCTAGTCAAACCCCTACAAATCAGGCATTCCTATATCAATCAGGAAACTACCCAAAATCTCCCATAATCTACAATTGTACAATTGTACACGTTTTTCCTTAAATTCAAAATAAGCAAATATTCCAACACTCCCCCTCAAGCTGGGGTGTAGATGTTCTCCATTCCTAGCTTGCTCACAATTCTCTGAAACACTGGATTAGCCAATCCCTTAGTAAGGATATCAACCAACTGTCCATCAGAAGATACGTAAGGAGTACAAATCAAGCCACTTTCAAGTTTCTCCTTTATGAAATGCCTATCAACCTCCACGTGTTTCATTCAATCATGTTGCACTGGGTTATGTGCAATGTTGATAGCAAATTTATTGTCACAATAAGTTTCATAGGCGTTTCCCATTTGATTCTCAAGTCTTCCAAGATTATCTTAAGACATAGCAATTCACAGATGCCTTGTGCCATCGATCGAAACTCTGCCTCCGCACTGGATCTAGCCACAACTGGTTGCTTCTTGCTCCTCCAAGTCACTAAGTTCCCGCCAAAGAAGGTGCAATATCCAGAGGTCAATCTCCTGTCAGTGACTTAGCCAGCATAATCTGCATCGGTATAAGCTTCTAATGTCAGACTATTCCCTTTTGTAAAGAGAATTCCCTTTCCTGGAGTAGCCTTCAAGTATTGCAATATTCGATACACTGCTTGGAGGTGCACTTCCTTCGGATTGTGCATAAACTAACTCACCACACTTACGGCATATGCTATGTCTGGTCGTGTGTGTGAAAGATAGATTAATCTTCCAACTAGTCTTTGAAACATGCCGCTGTCCACGGATTCCGAGTTTGAAGCTTCTCCTAATTTGTGGTTAGGCTCTATGGGAGTGTCTGATGGTCTACAACCAAGTCTGCCTGTTTCCTTCAACAAGTCTAGAATGTATTTTTGTTGTGAAATGAGGATCCCTTCTTTGGACCGTGCCACCTCTATTCCCAAAAAGTACTTCAGTTTTCCAAGGTCTTTTATTTCGAATTCCTTGGCTACGCACCTACGAAGAGCTTCCTTTTCTTCATGATCATTCCCAGTTACTATTATGTCATCCACATGAACTAGCAACACTGTAACTCCCCCTGAAGTCGAATGTTTGATAAATAATGTATGATCCTGGTCGACATATTAAGGGTAGAATGGTATAAATCGGCTTTGATTAGGATAAATCAGTTTGGAAGATTTAGGATATTCAAATCTTTCCTTATCTTCTCCTAGTGATTATCCGGGATTGTTTAGGATTAGGAATTACTCAATAAAATCTGATTTGAATATTAAATTCAAATCAGTCACTTATAAGGAGATTATCTTTCCTTTTATTCGGATAAGCCAACTAAACTTGGCTGCCTATTTATTTGTATTTTCTGCAATATTCAATAAGATAGTAGAGTATTTCTCTTTCAAATCTGTCCTTATGGTATCAGAGCAATGGGGTCATCTAGTCTATCATGGAGAGTTTTGGGATTACCTGAGGATGAAGGATTAGGACTCACCATAGGTTCGGATTCAGTCCACAGTGCTTGTGAATTGTTTATTTCCTTGAAAATTTTTCCTCCGAGAGTAGACTTGCAGTTTTAGAAGTGGTTGCGGAACTAGCTGTGAACCAGGCTGGGACGGCTGCTCTGGCTGTAAAGACAACTGTGATAGCGGCTGTGAATCTTCCAGTTCAGTTTTGGTTTTGACTGGAACTGGAATGTCGATATTGAGGGCTGACTGTGGGGTCAAGGCTTCTTCAACTGTGGCTGTGGCTATGACATCCCATTCCCACACATAAGCTTCGGTATCATTACTCTCCCCCTAAAGCAAAGTGTGGGAATAAATGGGTATTTCTTCAAAAAAGGTGACATCTCGGGTGACAAAGGTTTTTTTAGTTTATGGGCAGAAACACCAATAACCCTTTTTTGTTGGAGAATATCCGAGGAATATGGTTTTTATGGCTCGGGGGTCGAGTTTGGAGCGATGTTGGGAATGGACATGGACAAACGCTACAACCAAAAGTTTTAAGGGGAAGGTTGTTTGTGAGGATATTAGAGTGTGGGACTTGAGTTGTAAGGACATACAATGGGGTTTGAAATTTTAGGGGGCGGCTGTGTAGTCTGTTGATGAGAAAGGCTGCGGTTAAGATGGCCTCACCCCATAGATGTTTGGGTACGTTCATAGTGAACATAAGGGCACGGGCCACTTCCAACAGATGCCGATTCTTTCTTTCTGAAGTTCCATTTTGTTATGGTGTTTCCGTACAAGAACTCTGGTAAATGATTCTATTTTGATCAAGATAAGTACCCAAAGTGGACTGGAAGTATTCATCGCCATTATCAGTTCTTAGAACCGAAATCTTTCTCTGAAATTGAGTTTGAACCATTTTATGGAAGGTTTGAAAGATTTGGCTGGTTTCAGATTTTTCCCTAAGCAAGTAAACCCAAGTCACCCGTGTATGGTCATCAATAAACGTGATAAACCATCGTTTGCCATTTAAGGTTGTTACCCTAGAAGGGCCCCATATATCACTGTGAATCAAGGAGAAAGGCATAAAGGATGCATATGGTTTTGGTGAGAAAGGTACACGTGTATGCTTCGCAAATTGACAAATATCACAAGTAAATGAAAAAGTATCTTTATTCTTGAATATCAGCCTGCTTTTCCCCATCTTCCACGGAGATGCTTCCCAATTCCAGCAACACCCCTTCATCCTGCTCACAGAAAGCCTTGACCATGGCCTTAAGTGATGCCCGGGAGTGACATAGACTGGGATCCCCTTGGTAACAAAAATTTCAAATAAGAAAAACTGGGGTGGCCAAGTCTATGATGCCACAACATTATTTCTTTATTACTAGAAACCGAAATAAAAGACACTCCTAACACGTGCTTGTCAACTCTCAGATTCTAAATTCTCAAGGAAATAAAGTCCTTCATAGGCTCTAGTACTGCCAATCGTCTTCCCCGATGATAGGTCCTGAAATTGACACATAGAAGGGGAAAAATTAGCTACACAGTTATTGTCACGAGTGAGTTTGCTAATGGCCAGCAAGTTACACTTTAAGGTTGGAACATGTAGCCGTCATGGAGGAAATGAATGCGCTAAAAAAGAATGAGACTTGGGAGATTGTTGATTTGACAAGTGATAAGAAGACTGTGGGGTGTAAGTGGGTATTTACAGTAAAATGTAAGGCTGGTGGCAACATAGAAAGATATAAGGCAAGACTAGTGGCGAAAGGGTTTACACAGACCTATGGAATAGATTATCGGGAGACATTTGCTCTAATTGCAAAGATAAACTCTATTCGGGTTCTACTGTCCCTAGCCGTGAATAACTACTGGCCATTGTATCAGTTGGATGTTAAAAATGCATTCTTAAATGGATACTTAGAAGAAGAGGTGTTCATGAGTCTACCGCCTAGTTTTGAAGAAGAATTCGGGAAGAATAAAGTATGTAAGTTGAAGAAGTCTTTGTATGGACTTAAACAATCCCCTAGAGCGTGGTTTGAATGTTTTGGACAAGCTATAAGGAGTTATGGCTACTCCCAGAGTCAAGAGGATCATACTATGTTCTATAAACACTCAGCTGGCAATAAGATTGCTATTCTAATTGTTTATGTGGATGATATAATCCTAACAGGAAATGATGATGCAGAGTTGGGAACCTTGAAGAAGAAACTTGCAGTTGAGTTTGAAATCAAAGACTTAGGGACGGTGAAGTATTTCCTTGGAATGGAGTTTGCTAGGTCTAAGGAAGGTATAATCGTCAACCAACACAAATATATACTTGACTTAGTGAAACAGGCATGCTAGGTTGCAAGGCAGCCGAGACACCCCTTGAACCAAACTTAAAGTTACAACCAGCCAAAGAAGAAGAAATGGTGAACAGGGAGCAATATCAGAGACTCGTTGGAAGACTAATATATTTGACTCATACACGCCCAGATATCGCATTTACAGTAAGTTTGGTAAGCCAATTTTATGCATTCACCTGGGAAAGAACACTTTGATGCCGTGTATCGAATCCTAAGGTACTTAAAGGGAACTCCTGGGAAAGGATTGTTATTTAAAAGGCAGGGACACTTGCAAATTGAGGTCTACACAGATGTTGACTAGGCTGGAAGTTCAACTGATAGAGGATCAACATCGGGCTACATGGGAACCTAGTTACTTGGCGAAGCATGAAACAGAATGTCGTTGCGAGAAGTAGTGTTGAAGCCGAGTTTAGGTCTCTTGCTCATGGAATTTGTGAAGTAATATGGATTAGAAGACTACTGGAGGATTTGAAACTGGCAGAGGTCTCACCAATGAAAGTATATTGCGACAATAACGCAGCAATTTCTATTGCACACAATCCAGTTCTACATGATAGAACAGAGCATGTAGAAGTGGATAGACATTTTATCAAAGAGAAACTTGACAGTGGACAGATTTGCATGGCATACATTCTCACGGCTGATCAAGTTGATGATGTTCTCACAAAGGGATTTCACAAGAAACAATTCGATAGACTAATTAGCAAGCTGTATATGGAAGATATTTTCCATCCAGCTTGAGGGGGAGTGTTGAAATACACAGAATATTCTCATAAGATTGGTCAACTTTCCAGTTTATGTTTTGATGTAAATAGGCAGATTTGTTTCATTCTTTCATTTGCGTAGATTAATCAAAGATTGTGAATTAGGAAAGTTGGCTGTATTTTATTCTTTCCTGTTTTTTATTTTTCTTTCATGTTTTCTTTTTGCATGTATTCGGCTATTTATAGCCTGTAAATTTCAGTGATGAATAAGAAGTTTTTGAACCATTCTTTTTGCACGGATTCTTCAGACATGTTGATTTTGGCTCAAGAATTATAAGACCAACGAAAAACAGGAGCAGAAAGATCAGTGAGAGATGAAACGGCAATTAAGGCCTGATAAGTGAACCAGAAAATTGAAACACCAATGGCTATGAAGGCAGAAAAAAGTTAGAATTCTCAGAGTCGTCGCTCTGATACCATGAAAGCAAAAGAGGAATTCTATTGATTGAATAAAAACGTTACATGTTAAGGTATATTTATCCTTGTACACAAAATCAGAAAATTAAAAATAAAATATTCTAGAATCTGCCTAGTCAAACCCCTACAAATCAGGCATTCCTATATCAATCAGGAAACTACCCAAAACATCCCATAATCTACAATTGTACAGTTGTACACGTTTTTCCTTGAATTCAAAATAAGCAAATATTCCAACACCTATATATGAACGCTAGAGGAAAATTGCCAACCTGAAGTAAGAGAACTACTTCTGAAATAATGTCACCCATTGGAAGAAGTTGTTTAACTACGTCCGTACTTATGTTAAATGGTATATTTGCGACCACCTGCAAGATGGAAACACACGTAAGCAGTACTAAAAGAACACAATGTTATTGTCACTATTTTTTTCACTCTTTCAGCAAATTTATTGAAAAGTATAGCATCTTGATAGGAGGCCATTATATACCTACACTATAAGATTTCAAGGTGAGAAAACTCTTCATCTCTAGACTTTCAAAGATGGGTAAAGGGATCAATTCCCCCTCGTTTTGTCTATATGCATTTATTTAATTCAAAGGCCTCTTTCGTCCCAAATTCAAAGACTTCATATTCTAAATATGCTCTAGAAGAACATTTTGGAGAGCCGGTGAGGTAACTTGGCAGCCAAAGTTTCTTATAGGTCACGTTTACTAACAAGATTAAAAGCTAAGTTTTATTCTAACTTGTGCTCCCTAAACTTTACATCATTCCCACTCTACCTTGATCTTTAAAAACTCTCACTTCACTACTTCAAACTTTGAATTAGTCTTACTTAACCCCTCTGTTAGAATTTCTGTTAAAAATAAATAGTACGAATAAAAGATTTTTAAGGGAAAATTTTGATATTTCATCTCCTTAGAGTAGAAGAATTTTAACACTTATAGAATCCGACTCTAAAGCTCCAGAACATCGGGCACAAAGCGTTCATTTTTTTGGTTAAATTTTCCAGTTTTTTCCTTGTTAAATAGTGATTAAGGGTTCTTTATGGTAGGATTACTATTAAATCTCATCTTAGCCTCTCTGATTGGGTATATTCTGTTTGTTTTTAACTGAAATCCTAACAAAACAGGTTAAGTGAGAATAATTCAAAGTGTGGAGTCGTCAAGCATGACCTTTCAAAGATCTGGGGGCAAAGTGGGAACGGTTGTACAATTTAGAGGCATAAATGAAAATAATCCAAAAGTTAATGATACAATAACAAGCATTGAAGCATATAAACTAAACTGCTCAATGATGCCCTTAGAAAAGGAGAGGAAAAAGAAAACCAACTCAGAAAACTATGCCCAAAGCAAAATGATAATAGTTATACAAAAGAAATTTTACAGAGAATAAATAATTGCAGCATATTCAGATGGAGCAGAGTTCTCTCACCTTCGCATATCCTGAATTCAAATCGGATAGACTTACTACTTTCCAATACTGATAGTACATGTGAGCAAATATGACATTTGAGAACGTCTTCATTTAGGACCTACAAGTTTCACGTTTCAGTTAAAAAGTAGCAAAAGAATCTGCAATACGTTTTCAATATTGAGTCCAGAAACCATCAAACTTTTGATCTTCCTTATGTGGAGTTTCCAAAAGATATAAGATGACGATAAAAATTAAAGAACTCACATGAACGTGATTGGAAATTAAAGTGCACAATTAGCGAAAATAAGCTGAAGTAAAACGATAATACGAAAGAGAAAAAATATATACAAATATCAAAAATTAAGTGAATTTTCTTCAGTGAGATTTATGAAAGTTAGTTGTCGTACATCAGTACATGACAACAAAGCTAACCAACATTGCAAAAAAGTGTTAGGCTTTTTTGCATGGGACTCGCTCAACTTTTCGCGATTTACAATTTGGTCATTAAACTTTTTTTTTATAATCGGCTCTTTAACATTTGAAATCCGTTGCAATTCGGGTCCAATTGGAATTTAGATATAAGAAACAATGAATTAGAGATATCAGATTCAATCAAAACCATTTGGAAATTCAGTCATGCTCTGTTTTCTTCAATGGAGGAACCCAAATTTAGTCGAATCAAATCTTGTGTTCCTAAGTCTCAATCTTCTCGTTCTTCTGGATCAAATTCAGCAATTTTTTTTTTTTTGTTTTCCTGAAAAGGGTTTGTTTCTTTTGAAATGACCATCTAATGCCTTAAAAAAAGTCACGTGATTAAATCCATACAATATTTGAAGGCCATTTTTAATTGGATCAAAATTGCAAAAGATTTCAAACGTTAAGGAGCCAATTGCAAAAAAAAAAAAAAAATTTAAGGACCAAATTGTAAATCCCGAAAGGTTGAGTGGGGTCCCATGAAAAAAGCCTAAGTGGACAGTTAATATTTGGAGCTCATTTCCTTAGTTGTGCTAGGTGGCAAGGTTATAATTTAGTCCTTGCAGTGCGATCTATGTCATTTTGAAAAACCATATTCGCAGCTTCGACGAGAGAAATAATTTGTTAATACTGGAAATGAATCTAGATAAAAAGGTGCTAAATTTATCCCTTAAACTGAGTTTTATTATCAAAATATGACTTACCTTCAAATGGTCAGTGTCTGCAAATCTTTCACTCACAAGAGCAGCCATGTGCGGATCCTAAAGATCACAAAATGCGTCAAATAAGTCTGCAATCTCATCCAGATAATGCAAATCAAAATATCTCCAACTGGGAGGATTGCAAATGTTAGGAAACAGGTGGTGACAACATGATTTACTTGGTGAATCAGTCTGCGGAACCAAATACTAATGAGTGGGGTCAAGTGCCCTACTCAGATTTTAAAATTTAGATTTTTACCAATAAAATTGTCCTAAAATCTCAGCTGCACCCCACTTTGTAAGAAAGATTTTTTGCCTCCACTCACTAATTTAATTAAATATATAAGTGCATTCACATTAAATAAAAAAATTCTCTTTTTTTTTTCCAATAGTGCGCCCACTGAAAGACTTGTTGGCCTCGCCACAAAGGTAAACCAGAATAAGACTTCAATGGACATATGCAGTTCATAATATAAGACTCATGAGCTATATGACTAACCTTTTCAATTGCGATAACATAAGCACCAGCACTAATAAGAACGTTAGTCAAAGAGCCAGTTCCTGGCCCAATTTCTAGCACCACATCACCATCTCCAACATCAGCCGCACTTGATAGCTGCTCGTTGATCTCAGAGTTCAACATATAGTGCTGCAACCCATGAAAACGGCAAAAGAAAAAAAATCAGAGCCTTCTTCAGATAACGTCCACTAACTGCTTGACGAAATGTCCCAACCAACTTTAGCAATTTATAACCCAAATTCAAACAAACCGACTTCCAGGAACAATAACAAGGACCAATTTTCAGGAACTTTAGTTCTCACAGGAGTGACAAAACACGCACGAGCAGAAAGAAACTCAGTTACCGAGGTTGTAACTTTTTTCTCGGGAAACAAACAGAATGAGAGTATGGGGTTAACCTGGCCGAGAGATTTTCGTGGAAAACGGCCTTTAGAGTTGAGAGCTTTGAGAGTGGCGTGGTAGTCATCTGGGCCTTTTCTTCTTCCACTTGTTGTTGAAGAGGACAAGGAGATGAAGAAGCTCTTCGCGATTCTTGTGTGGTATTATGAGCTGGTTTTGAAGGCTTCAGCCTCTGTTTCGGAGTCGTGGTGGAAGATATTGGCGGGAGACATTGGAGGAGATGAACTGCTGAAGTCATCACTCGGTGTGTGCGAGAGACTAGAAAGAGAGATCCGAGAAAGCTTAAGGAAAATTTTTTCCTGTTTTTTTTTTATTATTATTATTAAGAATAGGGTCCAACCACGAACCACTGTAGGACCTCGTCCAATCCGGATAGCGCCTTTTTTACTCTTCGCCTCTCTCTGTTTCTCTGTCTTCAAATCCCCGAATTTTCCTTCTCTCTTCAACACTCTCCGACGAGAAAGCCGAATGTGATCCACCGTCATCGGCCCCAGGCAGAGCCACGACGATGGCGACAATTGTTGCGAGGCCTCACGACGGGAATGGCCGCCTCAAGATCTTCGCGACAGAGATGGCCGCAAGTAAATCTCCGTTTCGAGGTAGATCCCAGCGATTAGATCTGAGCGCGTCAGAGATCCCGGCCAGCGATCTCGTGTCGCCGCCTGGCCTCGCGATGCCGAGAGATTCACCATTCTTCTCTGGCGACGGCATCAAAAACATGATTGCAACAACGAGTTCAAGCCGTCGATTGCTTACGTTTTCGACCACCTCTAGAAAAATTTGCTGAAAATTTGAGAATGTAAATCCATTTTTGTTTCAATCGTTGAGCTTTTTTGCGTTTGTAAATCCTTGTTTTAAGTTTGTGTGTTTCAAGTTATAAACCATTCTTCGTTCTGCTTCAATTTGTAAATCATCCTTCGCCCTTTTTTTTTTTCCTTCTTTCCTTATTAGCTTGATCGAAAAAAAAAAGAAATAGCTTTTGGGCATATGAAAATATTTTTAGAATGATTTTATTTTTAGTATAAAAATAAAAATAAAACTTTTTTAAAAATTATTTTAGAATCAATTTTAAAATTATATTTAGTGATTTTTTAAGATATTAATTTGAGTATAATAAAAAAATAAAATTATATTTGGTTATATTTATATTTATTTTGAGTATATGTAATTAATAATTTTAAATTAATATATTAAGTAATTAATATAATATAAATATTTAACAAATAAAAACTAATATATTAATAATAGAATAATAGTAGATAAGTACAGTAATTAAACTATATATATAATAAATTAATAGACTAAATAATTAAAAAATAGTAATTAGAAATTAATTATAAGTAATTATTATGTTAGTAATGCACTCACATTAATTAGATTATACGTAATTATTAACTTTTAATTACATAATTAACTAATTAGTTAATTAATTACTAATGTTTATTTAATAATCTATTATTTGATATACACATGATCATTTTTTGATAATTATTCTTTTTATAATGATTAATTACTAATAATAAGTTATTAATTATTATTGATTAATATATTATGTAATATTAATTATTATTGATTAATATATTATGTAATATTAATTATTAATTGAGTACTTAATATTTATTTTTTATTTACCAAGTATTTACCAATTAATAGATTATAATTAACATAATATATGATTGAAATATTAAATATTAAATATTTATTTATTGCTTAATTATTAATTAATCTTTAACTAAATAAATAATTACTGTATTATTTATTATTTTATCAACAAAATTAAAAACTTAATAGTAATAAATTAATATTTAATTAATAATTAATAATTACTATTTATTAATTAGTTATTAAGTATATTTATTTATTAATTATTAATTAATAAGCAATTAATAATTAATTATGTCATATAATATTGTTGATAAGTACTAGAAAATGAAAATGGAAAAGGAAAAACAATTTTCAATCGTTTTCTACTTTCTTCACAAAAATCATTCTCATTGTTTTTTTGTTTTCGTTTTCATTTTCAAAACTTTTATTAAACAAACGTGATTTGTAGACCATTTTTATTTTCGTGCCTCAAAAGATGTGGAGAAACGTTTTTGAAAACAACTAAAAAATAATTTCAAACACACCCTTTGTTTCTCAATAGTCTATAATATAGAAGGGTAAAATTGGAAAACTTAAAACTTAAAACTAAGTATGGCCTATTATTTTCTAATCTTTGATAAATGGGTTATTTTTTCAAAACTTGGCCTATTTCCTACAATTTCTCTTATTTTTTCTTCATTAATTAAATGATCGTTGTTTATTTTTTTTAATAGAATGATATAAATAATATTTTTTACCATAAGTGGTACTTCTAATTTGTCCAATCTTTTGTTATCTCCATGATCTTTATGTTAAGAACATATTCTTCATATTTTACAACTTTCAAATTAACACTCCTTGAAAATTATCTACTAATTATACATGAATGATCCTTCCATTCTCATAGTATATCTCCTATCACTTTTTTTGTAAATTTTTCTTCATTCCATTTTTGTAATTTATTTGTTATTGTCCATTTGACTAGTATTTGATAAGAGTAACTCTAGTTCATCTCAAACTCTAATAACCACAAACACACCAAAAGATCTAACAAATTAAACTAACATTATTGAACTGTAGAATCTCACTGTTGTAATGAAATATGGAGGGGTCGGACTTAGATGTAAAGTCAATACAATTATTACAAAAATGACATTTGTGATTGTAGTTGTTTAAGCCCCCAATTCTAGAGAATTATGGGTACATGCGAGAAGTTTAAGGAATTTTGTTTTCTTTTTAAAAGAGAGAACTCGTTTGATAAGGAGGCCGTTCATTGTCCCCCGTTGCCGGTCTCCTCTTTTTTTTCTCTCTTTTTTTTTAGATTTGTTTTCCTTTTTTCTTTTTAATTTTTTCTTTTAGTTTTTTTTTTCAATTTCTTCTTTTTACCTCCCTTATCTTTTTCTATTACATCTTTTTTTTTTAGATTTGTTTTCCTTTTTTCTTTTTTCTTTTTAATTTTTTCTTTTAGTTTTTTTTTTCAATTTCTTCTTTTTACCTCCCTTATCTTTTTTTATTACATCTTTTAATTTTTATATATTTTCAAATATATCCCTGTAAATACTTTTTTATGGTTATTTAAAATAATATTTTGTTCTTATTTTTTTTCATCCTTTCTTTTTTCGGCAATTTGTATAATTGTTGTTTTAAATGTCTGCGCGCGTTTTTGACTAGTTTAAGTAAACGGTATAACTAATCACATATACTTACGAAATTAAAACAAAAACAAAAAAAAGAAAACGTAAAACAATTAAAAATTAATTGAATATTCTTTTACTTTTAGACTCTTAAGAAAAAACTCTTTAGAAAAAAATATGATCAACATTCAACGTTGGAGTTCATAGAGGATTTCCATAGAGGAATTTTTAGGTGTAAGTATTAGAAAGTTAATATCGCATATGTTCACTAGTTCAATAATTATCAGGGGATATTCTTTTCTCTTTAGTTTTTTTTTTTCAACCAGATAATTAATCGAACAAGATTTAAAAATATTTATGTTACAACTTGGAAGATAATTAGAAAAAAAAACTTTAGCAAACTTCGGATATTATATATAATATTTTTCTCAAGATAAATCTATTAATTATACATTTAAATTTAAAATAATAATAAACGTAGTGATATAAATGTTACCGAAACAGGTTGAGGACTAATTAAAAGGATTAATCACTTTCAACATTTTAAGATTTTTATGTGGGTTCAGTTATGCATTTCCTAAAAATAAGGAGCCTTACATAGTTGCCTCAAGTAATGGCCTTGATTACCATTACCACTAACAATTCTATATCACATTATGAATATCATAAATACTAACGAAGGCAAATCTGGGACTTACGACGAGCGCATGAAAAACACATGCAAATATGGGACAAAGGTGATAATTGATTTAGGAGTGGTTTCTTGTTTGTTGTATTTTATAGTAGAGGCAATCAAGAAAATGAAGCATGTCAATGACTAGGGCGGCGCAGATCATCATCATGGCAAGAGGCATCCGACTTCCAGGAACTGGGATGCCTTCATCGCCCTCTTGCTTCTCTTCATTCTCTTCTCCCTCTTCGCTTTCGACCTCATCACGAGTTGCCACTCATTCGTGACTAACATTGTTAGTTGTCAGAAGATTGATCCTCTTGGGAATAGTACTAGAGCAATTATTCATCAGCCATGATTATGATTATTACTTCGTCACAATATTTAAAGGGCATTTGGTATGCGATAAATCTTTAATAATTATGTTGTATGGGTTTTAGACTATCTCGAAATGGGATAAGTGAATCTAGACTTGTCTAGAAATGAAAAGTTGTAATTTTTGTACCGAACATGAAAATTTGAGAGATTCCTATTTCCTTAGAATTACTGCCTTCTAATACTTTACTTTCTCTATCTTTTCGGTTGTAAATAGATCATGTTGTTTCCGATTATTGATTATTTATGAAATTATATAGTTTTATTCTTGTTTAAGCAATAGTTTGAATTTTTTTGTAATCATGTATAACTTGTAAAGTGATTCTTCTTAGGCATTATCACTAGATTTTCATTTTAACTAAAATTACATTAACAAATTCTTTTAAAAAAAAGAGTAAAACCTCCATAAAATATTATTATCGGGACTAAGAAAAAGTATTATTTTAATGGGGTTATTAATTTATCGATAAATGAATATTTATTAATTTAAAGAGCAAGCATATGGATAAAATAGGGTCCGAAAAACTTAGAATGCACATTCTTCTAAAAAACTACACGCGTACATACATATAATATTATCAATGATTGGACATTTCAGAATCAATGTTTCTAAATGAAAAAAAAAGTTTGAGATTCTAGTGTCGAAATTCTTGAATCCTTTTCTTTCTTGGGTATATGTGGTCATTCTAATTCATCTTTGGATATCCCAACTAATGATGGGGTATTTTGATCTCCATCTTAAAAGTATTGAATGATTGTTATCTTGTCTTTCTATTATCTTGTCACATCAAAAAGCTTACAATTTAAATATAGTTAAAGAAGAGCCTGCTTACAATTTAAATATAGTTGAAGAGAGCAGAAAAAGGCTCCAGCT